CACCACCGCGGCCACTCCCACCACCACCAGTGCCACGATCGTCGTCACCATCAACAGCAATACCGACACTTGCGGAAGCGCCCTCTCAGTGGCCACACTGGCCAGCTCGGGTCGCCCTGGCCGTGCAGTCACGCTGTCTGTCTCACACACACTTCAGGCACCATCTGGACTCTCGGTGCCAGGGTGGGGCGCTGGGCCATGTGTCCAGGCGGGAGGCAAAGCGGGTGTGGGGCAAGGGAAGGAGCAGCTAAGGCTGCCTGGGGCAACCAGGAGGGCCCCCTGGAGGGCGTGCCAGCCACCTCGGTGGGCAGGAGTCTGAGGAATGTCCTGGGGCGGGCTCGGGCGAGGGTGCTCTGGCAATGTGCCTGCAAGAGTGTGAGGGTGACCGGGCGGTGGGGGCCAGGGTGGGGCTCAAGGCAGGAGGTGTGATGAGAGCGCTGTGCTCCTGGGAGCCCCATGTCACAGAGCACAGTACTGAAGTCCCAGTACTGGTGTAAAGCCGATGCTCACGGCCTCGTGCCCAGCCGAGTGGGCTTTGCTCTCGCTCCCCTGCGTGCTGCCCTTCCGCCAGCAATATCGTCTCCTGAGCTGCCTGTCTGGTTCATCCTTCAGGGCTCAGCAACAGCCGCCCTCCTCCAGGAAGCCTTCCCTGCACACCTGTCCTGGTGCACGCCTCCTCGGGTCTCTGTGGCATCTCCCCTGGAGGGCAGAGCCACCTCTGACTGCCCCTGGGCCTGGGCCCTGGCCAGCATGGCCTGCCCATCACACACAGCTGTGCTACCCTTGCGTCCTCCTGCTGCCACCAGTGCCAGTGAATGAGCCCCCCGCTCCGGACCCCTGTCCCAAATGAGTGAGGACCGTGCCTGAACAGGCTGGAAGGTTGCGCACCCTGTCCCTGCTGGGATGTCCCCGTCTGGCCTCCCCCATGTCCCCCCCGGCCTGTACTGTGGGTCCCAGTGGGAATGAATGGTGGAGGCCTCAGGGTCTCATGCAGTCTGGGCCTGTTTCTCTGGGCTTATCCAAGTTCCAGAAGCAGCCCTTCCCCGGCCAGAGGAAGACACTTGTGCCGGATGGCCCGTGTGCGGTGATGTATTTGTTTGAATGACTCAGCGGCCTGCAGTGCCCTACAGCAGCAGCCCCCATGGCAGGACTTAAGATCCAGCGTGTTAATAATTCAATTCCAGCCCTTCCCGTGGCCCCTGCCGGCTTCTGGTCCCGCCGCACCTGTGTTGGTCTCAGGGGCCGGGGCCCAGCTCCCCCAGTGTGGCCGGCGAGGGACAACCTTCTGGGCACGGTAACTGGCCAGGGGTTGGGTTCTCTGTGTCCGTCAGAGCGTGCTGGTCTGTGCCATGCTCATTCCCACCCCCCAAAATCTTCCCCGCGTCGTGTCTGCTTTCCAAGGAGAATGTTTCGAGAGCCCCAGCCCCTCCCGAGAAGCGGCCTTTGTGCAGGCGTGTGCCCGCCGGGCAGGCCGGCGCGGGCGCTCCTGAGACGCGCTCCGTGTGCCCGAAGGAGGCGTGTTCAGGAGCCGCGGCTCTCCACGGTCTCGGGGCCATGGGACAGGGTGGGCTGGCAGGACCCTTTTGTCTGGGGCTGGGCCCGGTCCCAGGCCCTGGACGGTGCAGGGAAAATTGCAGTGTCTGCGCTGGACCAGGAGCCCTGGCTCCCAGCCTCCCTCCAGGGCCCGGGCCAGCGGCGGGGACCAGATGAGCCGGGGCGGGCCTGACTCCACGCTCTGTGAGCAGGGTGGCTGGGCGGAGGTGGGGTCACACCCGCTCCTTTATTCCTTCCCCACGGGCTTTCCGGACCTGGCTGCAAGGCTGGGCCCAGCTGAGGAAGTCTGTGAACACTCAGTCCCCCCAGGCTGGGCTGTCCCAGCATGGGGACGTCTGGGCGGATCACAGGGTGGGGAGAAGTGGGTGTGGCAGGAACTGCTGACGTGAGCCCTGACGTCCATCGCCCCGTCCTTCCTAACCGCCCCAGTGTCAGCTGGGCATGTTAGATTATTCCCAGCCTCCCCCGCAGCTGGGTGTGGCCGTGTGACCACCTTCTGGCCAATAAGAAGTAAGAGGGATGTCAAGTGGGATGTCCAGGAATGGGGAGCGGCATGCCGTTTGTTTGGTCCTTCCTCCACCTGGCGGCCTGGGAGGCAGATGTGAGGAAGGAGCTCCTGCAGCTACTTTGGACACGTGCTCAGGAAGAAAGAGCAATGAGCTGGCAGGAGCCTGGGTCTCCAACCGCACGTGTGGCCCTTACACCAGCTCTAGTTTGCCTACATCTGGACTTCTTTCGTGAGAAAGAAAAATACACATTTGTCTTCTGTAAGCACTGCAGTTTTGAGTATATGAGCCAGACCTAATCAGAACTGGTGTTGTGGGGAAAAGCATTTGAGGACGAGGGAAAAACGGGAAACCAGAGGCGCGGTCAGCCTGGGGGAGCTGCACACGGTTTGACTGAATTACAGGGTGCAGGGGTGGCCAGTGGAGGAGCTGGCCAGGTGTCCCAGGTGTCCGGAACTAAGCCAAGGAGCCTAAGGAGCCCCTGGCAACATAACGAGCAGTGTGGCACGGTGTCAGGCAACCGGTGCAGGGAGGACCACGGTGGGGAGCCAGCCTAAAGGGGGGTGATAGGGCTGCCAGTTGTCCTGTGAAACCTACCGTCTCCTTCTCTGGGAACAGAGCAAGCCAGTCCTGGCCAGCGGCTTGGCCCAGGGCCGTGACGCCCTGCCTCCCCGCCTCCCCGCGCCAGGCGTGGCCGAGACGGAGTGAGCGCTGATGGGACGTGAGCAGGAACCCTGCAAATGCTGCCGCACTGGCTTGAAAGGAAATTGCTTATTTGGACTCTTCTGCTCCCTGGTGGCAGGTGCTCAGCTGTGCCTGTGACCCAGCTTGAGGCTGGCTGACCAGGCCATGTCCTCCGGGTGCCCAAGCAGGATGGACAGGCCCTGGTCTTCCACACTAAAGCGTCCAAACCTCATAGCTTAGACCAGGGGCCGATGCTGCCCCCCAGGGACATTTGGCAATACCTGGGGACAATTTTGTGGTCACATCTGGGGGCTTGTGCTACAAGCACCTAGAGGGCAGAGGCCAAGGATTGTTCTCCAGGGCACAGGACAGCCCCTACCCCAGAGAACGGTTCAGCCCTGGACGTCCACGGGGCCACTGTGGAGAAACGCCGGCTTAGACAGGTGGCTCAGTGCACAGTGGTGGGCCCTTGCCACTGTGCAAAGTGGCAAGGGCCACTGACAAAGTACAAGGTCGTGGCCTGGCTTTTGGTGCCCATCATGGCCTAACCCAGCCTCATCCCAGGGCACCGGTCACTGCAGCCTCACCGCCTGGACTGGTCATTGGGGTGTGGCGTTGTGGAGGGTGGGCTTGAGTCAGGAGACTCGAGAACGCTCAAATCCAACAGGGGCGCCCATCTCTTCTCCCCGTGGGGGAGTGCAGCGGGAAGTCACAGGCCTTTCGTCCGTGGCGGGCTGCACTGGGCAGGGGCCTCTCCCTCCCTGGATCTCCCAGCAGTAGCCGCCGTCAGGGTGGGGGGCAGGGTCAAGGTTGCCCTTTGCTCACCAGCAAACTGGGCCCAGCCAGGGTCCCGGGAGCTGCCCCATCAGAGCAGCGCCCATCGCCAGGGCCAGGGGTGACTGAGTGTCGCAGGGGTGGAGCGGGCTGGGAGCATCCCCGCCACACCCGGTTGCTCGGCTCCTTTACCGAGGAAGGGGTCTCGGACACACAAGGCCGGGCCTCACCTGGTCCCTGGGCTGCAGCGAGGGGAGCTCAGCCCCAGGTCCAGCCTCCCTCGGTGCACCTGGCCCTGGTGCCACCTCCTTCTCGGCCCGCCACCAGGCTCGGACTTGGCCGGCAGTCACGGTCAGTGTGCAGCTGGACTTCCTGCTGCGGCCTGACCTTGGCTTTCTGGGTCCTGGAGGGGAATTTTGTTAGAAAACACAGAGTTTTCTGTCTTAGAGACAGAAAACATGCAGCGTGTTTGCCCACTCGGCAGCCAGGAGCCTCCCAGCAAATGCCTCCCCTCCCGGACTCTCGGCCCCCTCGGAGGCCAGAAGCCACAGGGAGCCTGGCACACTTCATTTTTGGTGAACCGAGGCTGGCTCCAGGTGCTCACTCCTCTCTGTTCTCCGGGCTCCGGGACGCCTCATTAACAGCCTGCCCTGGAACCTCGCCAGGCTCCTGGACGTGCCCTTTGGGGGTCCCTCGTCCTCCCCCCGGAACCCAGAGCTCTGCCTCCTTCTGCAGGCCGGGGCTCCCCACGGGCCGGCCTGGGCTTCTGCTGTCACTGTCTGTCCCCCCATGGCCCTTCCCCAGAGCGTGCTCGGCCCCCGCCCCATGCAGCCCCCGCCCCCTTGACAGGGGCCGGGAACCCACAGGGCCTCAGGGAAGCTGAGTGTACCCCGAGGGGACGTGGGACAGAGACTCAGAACCTTCAACTGCTTACACGTGGGCGCCAAACTGTCATTTGCCAGCTGTGCTGGACTCCAGAGCCACCTGGGCGTTGACCAAACATTCAGATTCCCAGGCCCCTACCCTGGGACGCTTTGGAGAAGTAGGTGTAGGACAACCCTAGGAGTTGGCTGGTCAGGCAAGCAGGGGACGCTCCATCCAGGGCTCACCTCTGGTGCCCCTCTCTCCCGCCAAATCTTCAATAGCTCCCCAGTGCCCACAAAATAAAGCCCACGCTCCCCAGCCTGGCGTTCGGGCTCTGTGTGCGGGCCCCAGCCTCTTTCCTCTTATCCTTTATTCTGCTGCACGACCCCCCGGGAGCCATTGCTCACACCGTCTCATCACTTGATTTCCGCCCCCCGTCTGCACCTGTCCGAACCCTCCCGCGTTGGTTTTCTATGGCTGTGTGGGTTACTCTAAACCTGGAGGCTTAAAACCACGCCGTTCATTCTGTCACAGTCCTGTGCATGAGAGCTGCAGCTGGTGCGGCCGGCCTCTCTGCTCGGGGTCTCGGGGGCAGGGCGGGGGCTCACCTGGAGGCGCAGGGCAAGATCCTCCGCCACGCTCGCCCGGGTTGTGGGTGGAGTTCGTTCCTGGCGGCTGCAGGACTGCAGGGTCCATTTCCTGGCTGGCGGGCAGCCAGGGGCCACTCTCAGCTCCCAGGGGCCTCGGCTTGGGCCCCCCCATCGTCACAGCTGGCAGTGGCAGGTGGAATCCTCCCCTCGCTGCCTGCGGAGCTCTCTGGTGGCCCCTGTGGCCACAAGCCAGAAAGAACTGCTTTGAAAGGGCTCCTGTGACCGGATCAGGTTCGCGGGGAAAGTCTCCTTTGGATGAACTCGAAGTCAACAGATTGGCGACCTTAACTACAGAGCATAACACATACGGAGCATGCCACAGAGCACAGCACAGTTGCGGGCATGACACCCCATCATACAGTCTCGGGGACCCGGCAGGACATCTGGGGGCTGCTTAGGGTTGTGCCCACACCCCCTCCATGGCCTTGCAGGCCCTGCTCCCCTGGGCCCGCCCAGTGGCAGCGGCGTCCTCCTGCGGTCTCCTTCCTCCCACCACGCTCGGCACTGGACCCCGAGCTCCCGGCAGCAGGAGGTGGGTGGGTGCTTCGCCATGTACCCCCCACCCCATGGGGCTCGGGGCCCCCCTCCCGGGAAGCTGAGACATGTGGTGGGAAGAGCCCAAGCTCTGGGCCTGATGGATGTGGGCTCAAATCCCAGCTCCACCAGCTGTGTGACTTCGGCCAAAAGTCCTTCCTCCTCTACCTTAGTGTCCCCGTCCGCATAACGAGTCCAGCAGCGCCATTTCCCAAGACGGGCCGAGGTCCAGTAAAAGAGCACTCCGTCCTTACCTAGAGGGGCCAACACACGCGCGCTGTGACCCGAGCAGGGGTTGCCGCCGGGTTCAGGACATGCTTGTGGCCGGGCGCAGTGGCTCACGCCTGTGATCCCAGCACTCTGGGAGGCCGAGGCAGGAGGATCGCTTAAGGTCAGGAGTTCGAGACCAGCCTGAGCAAGAGCGAGACCCCGTCTCTACTATAAATAGAAAGAAATTAATTGGCCAACTAAAAATATATAGAAAAAATTAGCCGGGCGTGGTGGCACATGCCTGTAGTCGCAGCTACTCGGGAGGCTGAGGCAGGAGGATGGCTTGAGCCCAGGAGTTGGAGGTTGCTGTGAGCGAGGCTGATGCCACAGCACTGTAGCCCAGGCAACAGAGTGAGACTGTGTCTCAAAAAAAAGGACATGCTTTCCAGTCTCGCCAGTCATAAGATTCAAGAACCAGGTGGGCGCAGGGCAGCAAGAATGGGGTGCGGGGGGTGGAGGCTGGAGACGGTGGGTCAGGCCCAAACTCAAGGTTCAGAAGAGTCAAGGTCAGGTCCCTGCTCTCCCCACCTTGTAACACCACAGGTCACGTGTGCCGTCTGCTTCCTGGAAAACCATCCATTCATTCATTGAACAATTGCTTAATTGAGCACTTACTGTATGCCAGGGTCTCTCTTACGTCTTAGGGTTAGAGCAGTCACGGAAGCAGAGGTTACGATGGCCCCCGTGGAGCTTATATACTGGTGGGAGACAAACAGGAAACAAAGGACATATAGTCCTTAGCGCCACAAAGGGAACAGCCAGTGTTATGATAGAGAATACCAGTGAGTGTGTTTGCGGGGAGGACTCTGGGGCCCCTCTCATGGGGACATTGAAGCTGGGGCTGCATACAGCCAGGCCAAAGAGCAGCGTGCTAGAAGGGGCAGCATGTGCAAAGGCCCTGGGGCAGGAACCGGCTTGGTGTGTTCCAGTAACAGAAGGAATGGCCCAGAGGATGGACAGGACAGAAGGCAGATGATGCCAGAAGATGCCAGGCTAAAGGCCAGACGGGGACTTTGGTTTTATTCAGAGAGGTGGGGAGCCGTGGAAGGCTCAAGCAGGAGAAATGGCCTCACCTGGCTTGTGTTTACTGCAGACTCCTCTGGCTGCTGGCTGGAGGCCGCACTGCAGGGGGGCAAGAAAGGAACAGCTGCTGCTCATTTCATTTTCTGGTGGAGGCAAAGGTGGCTCAGGCCAGGGGGTCGCAGTGGTGGCAGGGTAGGAGCAGCGTAAGGGCAGGGTCTGTTTCGGAATGGAGGCCAGAGGACTGTGAAGGGATCAGATGCGGGAAGCGAGAAGGGAGAGGAGTTGAGGACAACTCGCTGCATTACCAGCTTGGGAGACCGGGCTGAGGCTTTGGAGTGAGCGAATCAGGGTTCCAGCCCTGGTCGGCAGTGACACAAGCACACCCTGGGGGGACAGACTCAAAGAAGAAGGGCCGGTTACCCAGGGCCACATGCAGGCGTGGGAGACAGGCTTAGGTCCCAGGCCCTTGTCTTGCAAGTGAGACCCTGTCAGTAAAAACGGGACGAGACTAGCACTCTGGGAGGCTGAGGCAAGAGGATCCCTCAAGGTCAGGAGTTCGAAACCAGCCTGAGCAAGAGCGAGACCCTGTCTCTACTGAAAATAGAAAGAAATTAATTGGCCAACTAAAAAAAAAAAATGTATAGAAAAAAAATAGCCGGGCATGGTGGCGCATGCCTGTAGTTGCAGCTACTCGGGAGGCTGAGGCAGGAGGATCCCTGGAGCCCAGGAGATTGAGGTTGCTGTGAGCTAGGCTGATGCCACGGCACTCTAGCCCGGGCAACAGAGCGAGACTCTGTCTCAAAATAAATAAATAAATAAAAATTAAATTAAATTAGAAAAAAAAATAAAAGGAAAGAGACAGAGAGACCGGAATCCCTGCTGCCCAGAGAAGAGGGCAGTGGCTCCAGCCTCCCAGGAGCGGGTGTATCCATGTGGGCCTGCCTGGCGGGGTGCGGTGGGGCCCCTGCCCTACACCCCGGGAAAGCTGGGCAGGGGCCACCAACGTCTCCCCCCCAGGCAATTAGAGACGGGCACTGCTCAGGCCACCCGGCAGTCAGCTCTCTCTGAGCACCGTGAGGGGTGGAGGGAGGCTGGTCTCCCAGTGGGGTCAGACACGGGCTTGGCCACACCCCAGCTCTGCCCAGACAGGCCTGCAGGATCCAGACACGGAGCCCGCCCTGGTTCCGTGCCCATGTGTGCCGGGCACTGCTTACTCATTTTTAGGTTAACTCATTTTTGGTTACTTGTTTCTGGGTTAACTCATTCTCCTGAACCCCACGGGTGTGGGTCCCACTGTTACCGTGACTGTTGTCCCCAGGGTGGAGAGGTTGGGAGCTTGGCCGGAGGTCACGCAGGGAAGCAGTGCTGAGCCCCACTGTCCTGACCCTGGAGACGGCCAGGCACGGGCAGGCCTCCATATTGGCTGGGAGCCAGAGTGCCCACCCGCAACACAAGGGAGCGCTCCACCTCCTCCCATGCAATACCCCCCACAGCGCATGAGGGACCCCTGGGCCAGACACTGGCCACCATCCTGTTCAAGGTGATCAGAGCTGCAATCCCATATGGGGACAGGGGTGGGGACCTGCCTGTGGTCACACAGTCCTCAGAGGCCTGGAGCCAGCCCTAGGAGCCCAGGCTGGGTAGCGACTGCGGGCACGGCCGCACTGCTGCGTGTGCGCGCGTGGCACGGGCGTGCGCTCTCCCCACTCCAGCTTTCCCACAGCCTTGCATCTATTCAGGGAGCCTTCGAGGCGGCGGCGTGCAAGCGGACTGTGGGGGCCACTGGCCGGAGGTCCCGCGAGAAGCGGTGGAGCCGGCCAGGCCAACCCTGCTCCCCGCGGCCGGCAGGGGGCGGCGCTGCGCCGCGGTCCCTCCGCGTCCCGCGCTCCCGGGGACCGGGGGCTCCGAGAGGCGCGCCGAGCCGGTGCACGAAGCCAGGCGTCCCGCCCGCCGGCCGTCACGCCCTCCCGTGCCGGCCACAGCCCGGAGGCCGGGTGGGGGCGAGCCCGAGCCGAGCCGGGAGGAGGCCGCCAGCGACGCGCGGGGTGTTCCGGCCCCGCCACAGCCCATGGCCCGATGCTGCGCCCCGCTGACGCGCGCCAAGGCCGGGGCTGGCGGCGGGCGGGGCGGCCGCCCGGGACTCCGTGCTGGGGCGGGGGCACTGCCCGCTCGCAGCCCCGGGCCCGGCGTGGCCCTGGCGCCCGTGACCCTCGGGCCCTGGCGCAGCCGCGTCCGGCGTCCCGCCGCGTCGCCGCCGGGTGGCAGCATCCGCCCGCGAGCCCGAGCTCCTCCCGCGGCTCCCAGCCCCGGCCGCAGCCCGCCTGGCTCTCTCCACCGGCTGCCAGGGCCCGGACAGACACTCCTGTCCCTGGCTCTGTGGCGGTTCTGGGTCACAAGGGTGGGGCTCCTATTGTCATTTCATTCTTTCTGCGCCTCAGTTCCCTGGTCTGTACCGATCTCCACCGTCCCTTTTATCTGGGACCCCTCCGGTCGGCCCACTAGCCAGAGCTGCGCCGCCCGCCTCTGACCGAGCGCGAGCAATGGCCCGCGCCTGGGTCGTGGCAAAGGTTCAGGGGATTTGGAGGGATTAAGAGGAGATGGGGGCCAGGGGTCGGGCGGGACTGCAAATAGCGGGGGAGATAGGCTCTGAGCTTGACGTTCCTCCTGGGCTTGGCTAGGTGGGACCCAGAGCCGCTGAAAGCAGCATCCCCCCACAGGGGTCACCCCCACTCCAGCGGGTCTGGCGGGGGCTGGTGCCCTGGGACTAAGCTCTGTGCAGCCCCCCCCCCCCCGCTGGCCTCTGAGTGGCACAGCTCAAAGGCGTCGGGGACTAAGAATGCACAGAACAGGTGGGCAGCCTGGTCGGGACAGACCAGGCTTGGCGCCCACTCATCCGGGGCTGAACCAGGCCCAAGTGGCTCGGATGTGAGAGGCATGAGGCCAGTCTGACTTCTGCGCTGGTCACTGCGCTGAGGGACACTGAGCTGAGCACTGCAGAGGGGGCCACGCAAACCACGGGGCAGGGGGGCAGGGAATCCTGGGGGCCAGGAGGCTCCCCCCCAGTTTCAGGGAGGCCCCCTCGATATCTTGCTATGCATGATGCCTGCCACCATAATGCTTGGCAAACAGCTTCTGCAGGAGGTCATTCCTGCCATCCCTCTGCATCTGGCCAGACTAGTCTGTCTGTCCCTCCATCTTCTATGTCCCCAAGCTGGGTTAGCGGTGCTGGCAACAGTGCTGGCTGCCGGGGGCCAGGGCGGGATCTGCCATGGAGGTTTGCTGGAGTGAGTTTAAGGGTATGGCCCCAAGGACCCCATGTGGACAGTTTCTGGGGAAAAGGGAAGCGCGCTCCGAAAGGCGGTGGGGGAGGGTGGTCTCTTTCTCCACCAGAAACTGGGAGCCAAGTGGCCACCAGGACTGGCACCATCGTTTCTCGTCCCCACCCCCACCCGTGCTCCTACTCCCGCCCCCGCGGGCGCAGAGGAGTGCAGGTGTCTCTTCCGAGCCGCGCCCTCCCCCGCACCCCCCCTCAACTCTCTCCTACCTACCCCCCACTCCGCCCAGTCCCTGGAGGGCAATCGGAAGGGAGCTGGCCTGGAGAGGGGGCCCGGGGGTAGATGCGTTTGTGTCACGGGGGAGGGAGGAGAAAAGGGAGGGAGAGCCGGGGAGTGAGGGAGAGAGAGCGCGCAGCGAGCGAGGAGGCGGGCGGGAGGCGGATCCTCCTACCTGGGGCGCGCTCGCTCGCTCGCGGCTCGCTCGCCCGGGCCGCGAGTCACCTGGGGAGGCCGACAAGTGCGGACACATTGGCCGCCGCGGCGCTCGGTGAGGCGCGCACGGCCCCAGGCAGCTGCGCCCAGTGGAGGCAGCACCCGCCCGCCAGCCGCGCCCGGGCCCCAGCCCGCGACCGCAGGGCCCCACGGTAGCTCAGCCCGGCTCCGAGGTCGCGGCCCCCGGCCCCGGTCACTTTCCCAGGCGCACGCGGCGGCCGCGGCAGCGCCCCGGGCTCACCATGGTGGCAGCGCGCGCCGAGTGCCCGCGCGTCGCCGGCCGCCCGAGCCGCAGCGCCGGCTGAACGCGGTCTGCGCGCAGCCCCCAGGCCCTCGCCCGGTCCCCGCCGGGCCCGCGCGTCCCCTCCGGCCGCCGCTGTCTATGGCGCAGCCCCCCTCCCTGGATCATGCACAGAAACTTTCGCAAGTGGATTTTCTACGTGTTTCTCTGCTTTGGCGTCCTCTACGTGAAGCTCGGGTGAGTATCCCCGTGGGCGGGGGCAGCAACCTCGGGCCAAGACGCCGGGAGGAGCTGCCTCCCAGGGGTCCCCATGGGGACCAGAAAGGGGCACGGCGGCTCTCCGGGCTCCAGGGCTGGCCTGCGTATCAGACCCTCGCCCCAGCCCCGCAGAGACGCAGTCGAGTCCCCTGGGCGGTGGGTGCCCCGAGGGTCGCCGAGCCCAGGGCAGAAGGAGGGAGAGCCGGGCGCACAGGCGGCCGCGGCTGGGCTCGCGGGTAGCGGCGAGCGTGCCCGGCGCGTACTTTCACCTGTTTGGGCTCCAGGCCCTGGGGGTGGGACGCGCCTTCCCTCCTCCGGGCTGCGCTGGGCGCTGAGCCCGGGCCGAGTGCTAGCCGCCCGGAGGGTGCGCCGGGGTGGGGGGCGGGGGGCGTTGGGCTGCCGGGGAGACTCGGGAGGGCGGGGGGCGCGTACCCGGCCGCGAGCGCGCAGGCCGAGGCACCCGCCGCGGCCCTTCGTCTCTATCCATCACCCGGACGTGTTGAAATTGCCTTGACAACTCGTCCGGCTGGCTCGGGATGGGCTGCGGGGCCGGCCCGGCCGCCCCGGGCTCGGTCCGGGGCCCGCGCCCCCGCCCGCCCGGGGCCCTGGGCCGGGCCCCCTCGCGCCGCGCTCCCCCTCGCGCGGCCGGGCGGGCGGGCGCCCGGCGGGCCGCGCTAGCTGCTCGCTGCGGTAGCTGCTCCGAGTCGTATTTCCACATTCCTGAACCCAGCCGAGTCCTTACCTGTTGAGCCGCGATCTCCTTTAGACAGAGTCTGTCTCGGCCTCTCTCGAAGTGGGGGTGGAGGGGCGGCGTGACCGAGAGGGGGTGCGGTGCTCCTCGCCCGGGGCGCCCACCGCCCGGCGCCGGCCCCGCGCCCCTCGCCCCTCGCCCCTGCGGGCACCCGCGCCCGCCGCACCCTGCGCGCCTACTGTGCGCCGCCGGCCGCCGCCAAGGCGGGGAAAGGACCGCGGGAGGGGCGGGTCGCGGTATCGCTGGCGGGAGATGCGGCTTCCCGGGCGGGGAGGTGGAAGCACGACCCGAGAATCGTCGCGTCCACCGCCCCCCTCCACCCCTATCCACTCCGCCATTGTACAGTGGGGAGAGCGAGGCCCAGGGCCGGCAGGGACCCAGGCCGGTGGCTCCCGAGGCAGGGCCGGAAGGCCCCGTCCTAGCCTCAGCCCTGCAGGCCTGAGCGGGTGTGTCTGCGGCTGCTGGTGGCCCTGTTTATTGTAGGTCTGTGGGCAGGCTGTGTCCCTGGGTGTTTGTCTATGGAGGCGAGGGGTGCAGGGCATTGAGCCTGCCGGGGTGGGGGTTGGGTAGGTAGCCCTGTCCTCCAGGCTCTTCAGCAGCCCTGCAGCGACTCCCCGCTGGCCCCCAGAGGTGACCACCAGCCCTTAATGAGGCTGTGTCCCTGCTGCCTGCTTCTCAGCACCCAGGCCTTCCCCTCCCGCAAACCTGGAGTTCGGTGCTTTTGCTCTCCTGGCTTTAAGGATGAGGAAGCAGCACAGGAGGCTAAGTCACTGTCCTCGGGAACAGTGGCAGCACTGGGACTGGAGTCAGCTCTGGCCTCCACCACCGACCACTCCTCCCAGGATCAGCTCCTGGACAGGCGTCGTCTCAAAGCAGCCCCTTCCTCCCGCAAGCTAATGGGAAGAGCTCTCTGAACCCCACCGCAGCAGCAGGAGGGGCTGAAGCCCACCCCAGCCTGGGCTCCCGGGCTGATTCCAGGACTTGGAGGTCTGCGTGACCTCCCCGAGTCTCCTGTTCGCTTCTGTAAATGGGACTGCAGCTCTGGCCATCCTGAGCAGGGTGGTGGCCAGTGTCTGAGAGGAGGGAGCAGGTGAGCAAGGTCCACTGGGTCTCCCTGTGGTCCAGCTTGAGCGCCTGCCGCCTGGGTCAGCCACTCTCTGGGCGTGGCTAAGAAAGAGAGGAGACCTACCCAGGAACCCTGCAGGGGGAGACTCCTCCCTCTCATGTGCCCCCCTAAAACACATACTCCCCCTATTCCTGGGTTTCCAAACTGTGGTCTCCAAACACCCTGTGGATTGACAGCCAGGAAAGCTGGAGCTCCGCCCTGGGATCTGCTACCGGGAGTGGGGGGCCCAGCCGACCCCCACCGCCAGAGGCTCAGCCACTGCCAGCCCACATTGGGGAGAAGGGCCCTGCTTTCTTTGCAAGCCACTTTGGCTGCGCAAGTTGGGTGGGAGGGGGCACCTGGGCCCGCATGTGTCCTAAGGAGTTAAATGACCTGGGAGCCCAGTGGATTAAGGTTTGGGAGTCTGAGACCAACGTCCACCTTGGACATCAGTCCTCCTGTCACTCCTACCCTATGGCCTTTTGTGAGTTCTTTAACCCTCCCAGACTCCCTTCCCTTGTCTGAAAAACTGGGAGGACAACACCAACCTCACTGCCCTGGGCAGGTTAGCCCCGGGGGCGTTTGCCCTGGGGGCAGTGGAGGTGCGGTCCTAATAAGCACCTGTGGACACCAGTAACACCTTTCTTAGTGCTAATGACCAAGATATCACCCAGGCCAGCACCCTGGGGATGGCTCCAGGCAGTGTATTCCAGGGCCTCTGAATCCCAGGAGTTGGAATTTTACAGTCGTAAAGTTCTAACCAGAAATCAGAGACTGTGTGCACTGGGGGTGTATTCTACGATCACAGCTCCTGAACCACACCTGCAGGCTGCCTGTTTTTGAATGTACCCAGGGAAGCCTCCCTCACCCCCGACCTGAGCTTGAGCAGCCATCACACACTTGGACCCCTAAGCCTGGTGCAGCTCACGTGTACAGTCTGGGGGGGGTGCTCCCACACAAGCAGGAACTAGAACTCAGCCCTCACAATCCCCTGGGGCTGGGGCCCCAAGAACAGATGCGCCTTGGATTTCGAGCCATTTGAAAACCTAAAGGCTTTGGGAAGTCATAGTTCCTCACCCAGGGCCCTTTTTGAACTGAGCAGCCTTCAGCTCCAGCCCTGAAGGAGGCCAAAGCAGGACTTGGAGGAGCCAGTCTGGAGTCTGGGCACCCTCTGCCCACTGGAACTAGAGTCACTATAGTTCTAGGACCAGCCCTGCTCCAGGACTGCGCCTGCCTTTGGGGCAAGAAGCAGAGAGGCCCGAGAGCCCGGACCAGGAGGCATGAAGGTGCGGGAGGCGGCTCCTTCCCGCTGGGGGCTGGGAACGAGTCTCCGAGCCAGGTCTAGAGGCCAGGACGTGCATTTTCTCAGGACCACTGGCCACACTGCACAGACTCCCCTTTTCTGGCCGTCTCCCCTGCGTTGTGCCTTTGCCCCAGCTGACGGGGTTGACGCTGCCTCTAGAGAGACATTCATATGTAGCCAGGCTTGGCACACAATAGGAGGTGGGGACTCCGAACCTGTGTTTCTGGGATTAAAAAATAAAAATCTTACTGGAAGCAGGAGGATTGTTTAGGAAAGTGTGTCCTCCCCACACCCATCCCAGCCAGCCCCTCAAAGGAGAGGGAAAGAAGTGGGCCAGGGAAACCAGAGCTGGGGGGCCTGTGTGAGGACAGCAACACCTGCTGGTGGCCCCTTTCCAAAGAGGCGCACAGGCAGGCAGGGTGCTGCAGAGACACCGGGCTACGGCACCGGCGCAGGGCAGACCTGGTTGGCTGCGACCCACAGCCAGCCTCACCAAGCCCAGGGGCGCACACAGGCAGAGGCATCGCACACAGTGCGTCTGTGCACACACACCTGCGCCCTCCCAGCCCGCCTCTGTCTGTCCCCCAGGCTCATGCAGGCACATGCAGGCACATGCAGGCACACAGGAGCACGCGCTGCCGAGCGCTGCCCCAAGAGGAGCACACGCCTCCGCGGCTACCCCGCGGTGCCTCCCCCTAGGTGCGCCCTCCAGAGCCAGGCCAGAGCTGTGTGGCTCCCTGAAGGTGGGGGTGGCGATGTCCCGACCAAGGCAACTTGGGCAAGCCCCGGAGGCGGCTCCCACCGCACGCTCCGGTCAGCCTCCCCTTTAAAAAAACCCGCCGGGGGGAGGAGGCGGATGTAGGGGCGGCCCATCCAATGGCAGCTGCGCGCCTCGGGAGACTTGGAGACGTGAGCCAGGAACGAGCGACAGAGCCGACAGAGCGAGTTCGCACCGACAGACGGACGGAGGGCCAGACGGCCGCTAAGGCGCACCCGCTGCCCCTGGACCGGTCCCCGCCCGGCACTCCAGTCCCAGCTCCTGCCGCCGCCCCAGACCCAGCGCGATGCGCTGCCCAGGCGGCGGGGCACGGGTGATCACTGCGCCCGAGCCAGCGAGCCCCGGCCCCTAGCGCCCAGCGTCGTCGCCCTGCATCAGGGAGCGCCGCGGGGACCCCAGCCTCAGCTGGCCCAGGCGCCCTGCCGCGGGGCCTGTCCAGCCCCGCCAGGCGCGCCGGCCCACCATGCTCCTGCTGTCGCCGCGCAGCGCGCTCCTCTCCGTCTATTGCCCGCAGATCTTTCTCCTCCTGTCCAGCGGCAGCTACCTGTGAGTGCCGCGGGTGGCGCGCGGGATGGGTGGGTGGGGCCCAGGCCGTGGAGCCCGGTGGGCAGGGAACCGGGCAGCGAGGCCGCTGGGCGTGGCGCCGGCTGACCGGCGCGCACTGGAGCCGAGGGACTTTAGGTCGTTTCGCTGGCTTAATTTGCCAAGGTGGAGCACCTAGGTACAGCTGCAGCAGTGAGAAGTCCCGGTTTTGGGGTCAGAGAGTGGCCTGAGAGTGGCCTGAGTACCCGCGCAGACCAGGCTGTGCGTGAGGGCTGGAGGGCTTTCGGGAGACAAGGAGATTCCCTGTGTGTCCCAGCTGAGTCCTAGACCAGCGAGGGACCCCTCCCCCTATTAACCCATGCGGCGCGAATGGCAACGCCACACTTGAGAGAGCCGCGCGCACACCCCCGCTCCGCCGCGCAAACACTGGGACACACGTGCATGCTGCGCTCCACCAGACAGTGCCCAGGCTGCACCCCAAGTCGCTGCAGCTTCTCGCGCCCTCCTGCTGTGCTGTACGGCCCGATCCAAGCCCCGCCACTCCTCACCTGGGGGCGAGGACGGCGCGCGTTGGGTGGAGAGGGCCGCGCTTCGCCCAGGTGTTCGGGTCGAGGGAGCGCGCGCAGCGTGTGCGCGCGGGTGCAAAGGGCCCGGCAGCGCCCACCGGGCTTGAAGAAGCTCCTGGCAGGGCCCAGTCCGGCCCAGCGAGCAGAGGGGGCGCATCCGCGCAGCGGCGGCTTCGCCCGATTCCTAATGGGACGCATATGCTCTGGCCTCCAACTTAAAAAGAAGTTTGATTTATGGAACCGCCGTTTGGGGGAATTTAAGCTGGATGCTACTGATTAAACCTCAGAGCCAGCTCTCCCTCCCTCTCTCCTCCCCTCCCCCTCCCTCTCCTTTACACGCGGGCCACGTCCGGGGTCGTCTAACGCGGCCAGAGGGGGCAGCCGCTGCCTTCCAGCTCCCAGCGCCACCCCCTCTCCCCGTGCGGTCGCAGTCCTAATAAATCGCCGCGCCCCCGCCCCCATTTAATAAAGACGCAGCCAATTTCTCTTCCAGCTCCTAGGAAATTACTATCCTACCAGTTTTCCTTCTATAAATAGTCGCGCATCTTGAAACAAAAGTTCGCAACCGCAGCCAGATGCTGCGAGGCCCGCGGTTTCCCGGGCTGTGGGACATAATTACAAGGTCCGGGTGCAGAGAGCGCTCCAGGCCCGGCGGGCAGCCCCGGCTGTGGAGGCATCGCCTTGGGGGTGGGGGGGGTGGTAGCAAGGCGCATGCCTGGTGGGGACCGCCTGATCCGCGGGGACGCAGGCTAGAGAAGTGCTGTGCCAGAGGGTCCTGCTTTGGGT